GCCCAAAGGGTCCCCGTGACTGCGCCGGTGGTACCCTTCAACACACGGAATTTCCAACACGTATCTCCCTGGGATCCTCACGACCAGATACTGCTGTGAGTATATCTAACATCCCCCCTGCTCGCAACAGTTTCTCACTGAAAACTTCGCAAAATCCCGATATCTCAAACAAAAGACGTCTTTCCCATAATATATGCCATGAAGACTTGACCAGAATAATATATAGAGAGAAAAACAATTCAAAGCAACATGAATGCTGCATCGCGCGTAACAAATACTTGGCGCGGGAAATGAAACAACACGGGAAACAAAACAAGACCAAAACACAACTCATCAGAAAAACAATAAAATGTTCATGCCAAATTCANAAAATCCCGATATCTCAAACAAAAGACGTCTTTCCCATAATATATGCCATGAAGACTTGACCAGAATAATATATAGAGAGAAAAACAATTCAAAGCAACATGAATGCTGCATCGCGCGTAACAAATACTTGGCGCGGGAAATGAAACAACACNTGTCTACACGCTGGTACGGCGACGGCACGTGGATGGCCGAAATTTCCTTCCTCTCTACCAGTTCCCTGAGAAAATGGTGCCTTACATCTATGTGCTTCGAGTTCGAGTTTGAGATGGGGTTCTGCGCTAGTTGAATCGCCCCCTGGTTGTCCTCGAAGATGGGGATGCACGGCATGCCGACCTGCGGCAACATGAAACGCCAAAGCTGCCTCAAAAACAAAATCTCCTTCACTACGTCACCTAGCGCGACGTACTCTGCTTCGGTGGTCGAAAGCGTGACACACTTCTGCGTTCTGGAAAACCAAGACACAGGGCCGCCTCCATACGTCACGATCCCCCCTGATACCGACCTACGGTCTGCTGCCTTGCTTGCAACGTCCGCATCAGCGTACCCCTGCAAGCTGAATCCCTCTACCGTACCTCTCTGAAGCGAAATACCAAAGTGACTCGCCCTCCTCGCATAGCCTTTAATGTCCATCGCTGCATTCCAGTGTACCAGCTTCGGAGATGCGCAGTACCTAGCTACTGCCCTTACTACATTCGCAATGTCTGGCCTAGTCTGAGTCGCCAGCCACATCAACGATCCTACCAGCTGACGAAACGGAAAGTCTGTCGCCACCTCATCCGCATAAAATCAGAAAGCTTCACCACCGAAGACATCGGAACGCTCTTATCTCCCACTACTCCATATTCTGCTGCTAGCTCATCCGTAAAAGTCTGCTGAGAAATCGTCAACCTACCGGTCTCCTTGTTCCTCCCGTAAAAGCACCCAGAATACCATCTCAACTCTCCCAGGTTCTTCACTGGCACGGACTTGT